AGAGAGAGAGAGAGAGAGAGAGAGAGAGAGAGAGAGAGAGAGAGAGAGAGAGAGAGAGAGAGAGAGAGAGGCGCATGAGCGGACGAGGTAGGGGAGAAAGAGAGAAGACGAGGGGAGAGCGCGGCGGGGTCTAGACTGGTACACCATGAGACGACAAACTTGGGGAGCTTATTAATTTCCAGGCGACGGGCCGGAAGGAATTGCCGAGAGCTGATTACGCCCGAAGGACGTGCGGGACGGGGGATAACAGCGGGGAGGAAGGGAGGGCCGCCGCCTCCTCCAGGGCGGATGAGAGGGAGAAGAGAACTCCGCGCTTCGCGATCCCGCGCGCCGCGTCAAGTCGCGTCTATGATTGGACGGGAGCCGATACGCGTCTGGAAAGGGCGATTTAAGCACATCATGAACTAATTATTTCGTCTGACTTGGCAGAGTAACACGTCTGCCCAGTTTTGGGTATAAGTTTATTGATTGCCCTTTTCTTTCCCTTTTTCAGCCAAGCGAAACGAGCCGATGCAAAAGAAGGGTAAATAGTCCTGACTTTCAGTCTGAAGTTTCTCTAAACTTCAATTGACGTTGACTGAAGTTGAAGGTTGAACTATGGATCAAAGTTCGGGAGGTTGAACTATGTAGTCAAACTTCTTTTAGAGTCCTTTTACCTAAGGGAAAACGGGTAGGTTTCGTTCCGAAGCGTCCGTAGTACCTCCTACAAACCCTATCACAAGCCTTATCATAATCCTTGGCTACAGCTCGTTCGGACGCTGAGATTTTAATATTGCCGGCCCCTTCCCTCCGTAAACTCCCGGAGCACCCGCGGAGCGATAAGCCGACTGCGGGTGGCAAGGACCACGAAGTGAAAGGAAGAGGAAACCTGGCATCGAGCAGCGCCAAAAGGTGCTGAAAAAGTGATTTAATTTCCGCCAAAGCGGCGGAGCGAACCCGTCTTCCGGAGGAGCGGAGGGGGACGGGATTGCACCACGATTTGCAACAACAGGAAAAGCCCCCCCCCCCCCCTTTTCGACTCACACTCTAAAAGAACACACAAGACGCTGAGGTACTCACCTATCGTAGTAGTATTCCCTGCAAAACAAGAAAATATGTGGTCAGTAAAAAAGACAAGCAAAGCACTTCACAAATGATTATTCGAAACCTGTAAAATAAACAATGAAAAAAGATGAAATTTATGTTAGGTTGTGTTTTTTCTCAAGTCAAGAGTGGGTTTTGGCGTGCTCCGTTCACGAATGTTTGGAAAAAATGTAGTTTCGAATCAAATAACAAAATGCATAATATATTTGGACAAAATTAAGAGCAACTTTGCAATTTACTCCGCCCAGTAAATTTTGTTATTGGATAGATGAGAAGGTAACGAGTGTGGTGAGCAATACTCATTCTTTAGTGCAGAAGAAAATATTAAAGCAAAAATACAAAAGCATGCAGCGTTCAGCTTTCTGTGTGCAAAGATGAAGCTCGGAAGAGGTCGGAGCATATGACCTTGACCTTGGACGCAGCTATGAATGAGCGCGAGCTGCACAGGTGCACCACGTGAAGCTCATTTCGCAGCTAGGCTGACTTCTATTCCCTTTCCTCATTTTCTCTTGGGCCGGGTATGTAGAGCAGGGAAATAGACCACTCCTCATCAGCGCATTCCTTATTGTGAGGAGCTATGTGGGAGGGGG